AGGCAAAAACTATACGGAGGCGTATCGTGGATTCCGTAGTAAATACGTATCTAAAAAAGTTTTATTTAATCTCAATAAATGGTATTATCTTTTTTAATACAAGTAAATCAAAAGTGAATATTTTTTAAAATAAATAATATGGGACGTATGTGCACGTACATCAAATATTACTAACCTACGCAATAATATTTGAAATAACTTGTCCTCGTAAAAATTTGAGATGCGCACAAAAAGTTAAATAATCCTAATAATAATATATTAAATATAAATAATATTAGAAGATATAAAGAAAACATTTTTTAAAATATTTTTCAGACAATTTCTTATGCCGCTGATCCTCAAATATTGAAGACATTCTATGATAGTTATGCAAGTTGTCTCGAGGAATTGAATGTGCAGCGTGAGTATCGATAATGTTATAATTAAATATTGGATTTAAATGGGTATAAATTATAATATAAAATATAAAATATGTCATATTTATTGAATTGAGCCAAAAAGAAGATTTTTGTGTTTCACAGTTTTTGAATTAAAATTATAATCGCAATAGGCATTTCCAAAACAAGCTCTTCAATATTTTTCTTTCAAAATAAAAAAAAAAGCAAAGAATTAATTTTCTCTCTTCGACTAATAATTTTACTATTTTAAAACTAAATTTAATAATAAAATGCGACAAATTTTTTCCAAGAATTCCACTTTACAGATGGCAATATTAAACAAATAAATTGTATATTTAAATATTTTTAAACAGATTTTAGACTTATCTAAAACTTATCTAAAACTGATCTAATTGCCAAATACATATAAAATTATATTATTAAATTTGTAATTTATATATTTCAGAATGGACACCGGAAGTGGCAAAATGTAAAATGCAGAAGGATGGACTGGTACGTTTGTACATATACATATAGATAAATTATCATATTGATAAAATATACACAATTTACACACAGAATAATTTTGCACAAAAGTACTAATATTATTTTATTTCGTAATTTAAAAAAAATAAACTATAACACAAATAAAGTTCAAACATAATAATTTAAGTTTTCAAACAATAATTATAAGATATGTATAAAAACTATTCATATCAAAAAAGAGACCAATTGATTTATTTCTTTACACGATAAATAAAATTGATTCTAACTATGTTTATAAAATAAAAATTATAACGTTTCGTGAATACTAATAATTCTTGATATAACTGATAATAATTTTCGATATTAATACAACAAGTCTAACATTTATGGTATTAAAAATCATAGTTAAATTTGAATTTTAATCAAATTTGATTTTAATTTGTCTTAAAATTTTGTGTAGCAGGCATAGTTAGCAATTATTTTAATTTTAAATGCCATTAGCAATTAACTAATAACATGTTATTATTTATAATCAAAAAAGAAAGATGGTCCTAAAATTAATTGCAATATACAACTAATTTAATTGTTTAAAGAGAAAAAAGATTAGTCCTACTTGCAAAACGGTTGGCAATAACAACAATCATATGTTTACTATATAATTACAAATTTTTTAAAAATTCGTATTTTGAATCATTATTTGTGTATAATGATGTTTGTAAATAAGCAATTGCTCTGTTATTAAGATTGTTCGACAATCAAAGTTGTTAAAAATGCGATATAAAAGTGTTTGTCAAAAAGTAGATAAACGATTGACAATCCCAGCAAGAAATTTTTTATAAGCGGATGCAATCTTTCACTTCATAACGTGACATAGAAAAAACAACATCACCGCATATCTCATCTAGTTCTTATGAAATTTTTAACATTTTTCAATCGTAACTTATAAATATATCACACAAAAATAGTTTTTACATTAATTATAAAAATGGATCTTTCTCAAATCAAAATACGCTTCAATTGTGTATTTTGATTAAATCATGTGCCATTTGAACAATTTTTGTAAACTTATAAATCCCTTAAATTTGTTAATAATAATAAATAAATAATACTATTTTATCAATCCTTCAGATTGACGAACAAGGTGTAATAAAAAAAGACGAACTTTTAGCAATATTCAACCTCATCATTTCCGATGAGACCAACTTAAGTCAAGCAAAAGAGATTACTTCCACTTGCATCGATCAAGGTGAATGAAATATATATTTAGTAATACATATTTTGAGTATGATTGACATAGTGTTATTTATCATATATTATTCTAAATTACTATTTTATTATGTATAACATTATTGTCATATATGTATATTACTTTATTATTCTATATCGCGCGTTATTTAATTTTTAATATATTATTATTTATATATCGCTTATTAATATAATAACAGCCAATAAATCGCTCCAAAATTTAAGCTATAAACTATGTTTTTTCATTTCTTGTGTGTGTGTGTGTGTGTGTGTGTGTGTGTGTGTGTGTGTGTGTGTGTGTGTGTGTGTGTGTGTGTGTGTGTGTGTGTGTGTGTGTGTGTGTGTGTGTGTGTGTGTGTGTGTGTGTGTGTGTGTGTGTGTGTGTGTGTGTGTGTGTGTGTGTGTGTGTGTGTGTGTGTGTGTGTGTGTGTGTGTGTGTGTGTGTGTGTGTGTGTGTGTGTGTGTGTGTGTGTGTGTGTGTGTGTGTGTGTGTGTGTGTGTGTGTGTGTGTGTGTGTGTGTGTGTGTGTGTGTGTGTGTGTGTGTGTGTGTGTGTGTGTGTGTGTGTGTGTGTGTGTGTGTGTGTGTGTGTGTGTGTGTGTGTGTGTGTGTGTGTGTGTGTGTGTGTGTGTGTGTGTGTGTGTGTGTGTGTGTGTGTGTGTGTGTGTGTGTGTGTGTGTGTGTGTGTGTGTGTGTGTGTGTGTGTGTGTGTGTGTGTGTGTGTGTGTGTGTGTGTGTGTGTGTGTGTGTGTGTGTGTGTGTGTGTGTGTGTGTGTGTGTGTGTGTGTGTGTGTGTGTGTGTGTGTGTGTGTGTGTGTGTGTGTGTGTGTGTGTGTGTGTGTGTGTGTGTGTGTGTGTGTGTGTGTGTGTGTGTGTGTGTGTGTGTGTGTGTGTGTGTGTGTGTGTGTGTGTGTGTGTGTGTGTGTGTGTGTGTGTGTGTGTGTGTGTGTGTGTGTGTGTGTGTGTGTGTGTGTGTGTGTGTGTGTGTGTGTGTGTGTGTGTGTGTGTGTGTGTGTGTGTGTGTGTGTGTGTGTGTGTGTGTGTGTGTGTGTGTGTGTGTGTGTGTGTGTGTGTGTGTGTGTGTGTGTGTGTGTGTGTGTGTGTGTGTGTGTGTGTGTGTGTGTGTGTGTGTGTGTGTGTGTGTGTGTGTGTGTGTGTGTGTGTGTGTGTGTGTGTGTGTGTGTGTGTGTGTGTGTGTGTGTGTGTGTGTGTGTGTGTGTGTGTGTGTGTGTGTGTGTGTGTGTGTGTGTGTGTGTGTGTGTGTGTGTGTGTGTGTGTGTGTGTGTGTGTGTGTGTGTGTGTGTGTGTGTGTGTGTGTGTGTGTGTGTGTGTGTGTGTGTGTGTGTGTGTGTGTGTGTGTGTGTGTGTGTGTGTGTGTGTGTGTGTGTGTGTGTGTGTGTGTGTGTGTGTGTGTGTGTGTGTGTGTGTGTGTGTGTGTGTGTGTGTGTGTGTGTGTGTGTGTGTGTGTGTGTGTGTGTGTGTGTGTGTGTGTGTGTGTGTGTGTGTGTGTGTGTGTGTGTGTGTGTGTGTGTGTGTGTGTGTGTGTGTGTGTGTGTGTGTGTGTGTGTGTGTGTGTGTGTGTGTGTGTGTGTGTGTGTGTGTGTGTGTGTGTGTGTGTGTGTGTGTGTGTGTGTGTGTGTGTGTGTGTGTGTGTGTGTGTGTGTGTGTGTGTGTGTGTGTGTGTGTGTGTGTGTGTGTGTGTGTGTGTGTGTGTGTGTGTGTGTGTGTGTGTGTGTGTGTGTGTGTGTGTGTGTGTGTGTGTGTGTGTGTGTGTGTGTGTGTGTGTGTGTGTGTGTGTGTGTGTGTGTGTGTGTGTGTGTGTGTGTGTGTGTGTGTGTGTGTGTGTGTGTGTGTGTGTGTGTGTGTGTGTGTGTGTGTGTGTGTGTGTGTGTGTGTGTGTGTGTGTGTGTGTGTGTGTGTGTGTGTGTGTGTGTGTGTGTGTGTGTGTGTGTGTGTGTGTGTGTGTGTGTGTGTGTGTGTGTGTGTGTGTGTGTGTGTGTGTGTGTGTGTGTGTGTGTGTGTGTGTGTGTGTGTGTGTGTGTGTGTGTGTGTGTGTGTGTGTGTGTGTGTGTGTGTGTGTGTGTGTGTGTGTGTGTGTGTGTGTGTGTGTGTGTGTGTGTGTGTGTGTGTGTGTGTGTGTGTGTGTGTGTGTGTGTGTGTGTGTGTGTGTGTGTGTGTGTGTGTGTGTGTGTGTGTGTGTGTGTGTGTGTGTGTGTGTGTGTGTGTGTGTGTGTGTGTGTGTGTGTGTGTGTGTGTGTGTGTGTGTGTGTGTGTGTGTGTGTGTGTGTGTGTGTGTGTGTGTGTGTGTGTGTGTGTGTGTGTGTGTGTGTGTGTGTGTGTGTGTGTGTGTGTGTGTGTGTGTGTGTGTGTGTGTGTGTGTGTGTGTGTGTGTGTGTGTGTGTGTGTGTGTGTGTGTGTGTGTGTGTGTGTGTGTGTGTGTGTGTGTGTGTGTGTGTGTGTGTGTGTGTGTGTGTGTGTGTGTGTGTGTGTGTGTGTGTGTGTGTGTGTGTGTGTGTGTGTGTGTGTGTGTGTGTGTGTGTGTGTGTGTGTGTGTGTGTGTGTGTGTGTGTGTGTGTGTGTGTGTGTGTGTGTGTGTGTGTGTGTGTGTGTGTGTGTGTGTGTGTGTGTGTGTGTGTGTGTGTGTGTGTGTGTGTGTGTGTGTGTGTGTGTGTGTGTGTGTGTGTGTGTGTGTGTGTGTGTGTGTGTGTGTGTGTGTGTGTGTGTGTGTGTGTGTGTGTGTGTGTGTGTGTGTGTGTGTGTGTGTGTGTGTGTGTGTGTGTGTGTGTGTGTGTGTGTGTGTGTGTGTGTGTGTGTGTGTGTGTGTGTGTGTGTGTGTGTGTGTGTGTGTGTGTGTGTGTGTGTGTGTGTGTGTGTGTGTGTGTGTGTGTGTGTGTGTGTGTGTGTGTGTGTGTGTGTGTGTGTGTGTGTGTGTGTGTGTGTGTGTGTGTGTGTGTGTGTGTGTGTGTGTGTGTGTGTGTGTGTGTGTGTGTGTGTGTGTGTGTGTGTGTGTGTGTGTGTGTGTGTGTGTGTGTGTGTGTGTGTGTGTGTGTGTGTGTGTGTGTGTGTGTGTGTGTGTGTGTGTGTGTGTGTGTGTGTGTGTGTGTGTGTGTGTGTGTGTGTGTGTGTGTGTGTGTGTGTGTGTGTGTGTGTGTGTGTGTGTGTGTGTGTGTGTGTGTGTGTGTGTGTGTGTGTGTGTGTGTGTGTGTGTGTGTGTGTGTGTGTGTGTGTGTGTGTGTGTGTGTGTGTGTGTGTGTGTGTGTGTGTGTGTGTGTGTGTGTGTGTGTGTGTGTGTGTGTGTGTGTGTGTGTGTGTGTGTGTGTGTGTGTGTGTGTGTGTGTGTGTGTGTGTGTGTGTGTGTGTGTGTGTGTGTGTGTGTGTGTGTGTGTGTGTGTGTGTGTGTGTGTGTGTGTGTGTGTGTGTGTGTGTGTGTGTGTGTGTGTGTGTGTGTGTGTGTGTGTGTGTGTGTGTGTGTGTGTGTGTGTGTGTGTGTGTGTGTGTGTGTGTGTGTGTGTGTGTGTGTGTGTGTGTGTGTGTGTGTGTGTGTGTGTGTGTGTGTGTGTGTGTGTGTGTGTGTGTGTGTGTGTGTGTGTGTGTGTGTGTGTGTGTGTGTGTGTGTGTGTGTGTGTGTGTGTGTGTGTGTGTGTGTGTGTGTGTGTGTGTGTGTGTGTGTGTGTGTGTGTGTGTGTGTGTGTGTGTGTGTGTGTGTGTGTGTGTGTGTGTGTGTGTGTGTGTGTGTGTGTGTGTGTGTGTGTGTGTGTGTGTGTGTGTGTGTGTGTGTGTGTGTGTGTGTGTGTGTGTGTGTGTGTGTGTGTGTGTGTGTGTGTGTGTGTGTGTGTGTGTGTGTGTGTGTGTGTGTGTGTGTGTGTGTGTGTGTGTGTGTGTGTGTGTGTGTGTGTGTGTGTGTGTGTGTGTGTGTGTGTGTGTGTGTGTGTGTGTGTGTGTGTGTGTGTGTGTGTGTGTGTGTGTGTGTGTGTGTGTGTGTGTGTGTGTGTGTGTGTGTGTGTGTGTGTGTGTGTGTGTGTGTGTGTGTGTGTGTGTGTGTGTGTGTGTGTGTGTGTGTGTGTGTGTGTGTGTGTGTGTGTGTGTGTGTGTGTGTGTGTGTGTGTGTGTGTGTGTGTGTGTGTGTGTGTGTGTGTGTGTGTGTGTGTGTGTGTGTGTGTGTGTGTGTGTGTGTGTGTGTGTGTGTGTGTGTGTGTGTGTGTGTGTGTGTGTGTGTGTGTGTGTGTGTGTGTGTGTGTGTGTGTGTGTGTGTGTGTGTGTGTGTGTGTGTGTGTGTGTGTGTGTGTGTGTGTGTGTGTGTGTGTGTGTGTGTGTGTGTGTGTGTGTGTGTGTGTGTGTGTGTGTGTGTGTGTGTGTGTGTGTGTGTGTGTGTGTGTGTGTGTGTGTGTGTGTGTGTGTGTGTGTGTGTGTGTGTGTGTGTGTGTGTGTGTGTGTGTGTGTGTGTGTGTGTGTGTGTGTGTGTGTGTGTGTGTGTGTGTGTGTGTGTGTGTGTGTGTGTGTGTGTGTGTGTGTGTGTGTGTGTGTGTGTGTGTGTGTGTGTGTGTGTGTGTGTGTGTGTGTGTGTGTGTGTGTGTGTGTGTGTGTGTGTGTGTGTGTGTGTGTGTGTGTGTGTGTGTGTGTGTGTGTGTGTGTGTGTGTGTGTGTGTGTGTGTGTGTGTGTGTGTGTGTGTGTGTGTGTGTGTGTGTGTGTGTGTGTGTGTGTGTGTGTGTGTGTGTGTGTGTGTGTGTGTGTGTGTGTGTGTGTGTGTGTGTGTGTGTGTGTGTGTGTGTGTGTGTGTGTGTGTGTGTGTGTGTGTGTGTGTGTGTGTGTGTGTGTGTGTGTGTGTGTGTGTGTGTGTGTGTGTGTGTGTGTGTGTGTGTGTGTGTGTGTGTGTGTGTGTGTGTGTGTGTGTGTGTGTGTGTGTGTGTGTGTGTGTGTGTGTGTGTGTGTGTGTGTGTGTGTGTGTGTGTGTGTGTGTGTGTGTGTGTGTGTGTGTGTGTGTGTGTGTGTGTGTGTGTGTGTGTGTGTGTGTGTGTGTGTGTGTGTGTGTGTGTGTGTGTGTGTGTGTGTGTGTGTGTGTGTGTGTG